GAGAAACTCTAACCTTAAAAAAAAAAAGATAAATAAACAAGAAGGAAGTATGTGGGGGTGTTTTGGAGAATCCCAAATTCCACAAAAACCCCACAGAATTAAAATGCTGGCATGTTCATATGACACGAGAAAACTGATGTGGAATTGCTGGAATGCCATTAAATACTTTTATGGTTTTATTGGTGCCCTTTTGATTAAATAACCTTCAGAATGAAAATGTGTAGGGATTATGTAACGAAGCAGATGAGCCCACAGTATTTTCACCAACATAAGGAATCCCATGGAGCTTTTGCATTACAAAGCTTCTTGTATAATTTGAAACACAACTGGACATAATTAGTAGAATAGAACAAATGAGCACTGAAAGAAAATACCATCCTCATACTTTTAATACGGAATCGATTACTTTAAAAAGCAAATCCACAGCAGGCAACGCACTGGAGAGATGGTTTGAAAGAAAATTCTGCAAATTAAAACCAGGGCACAGAAAGTTCTGGGTTGAACTAACAAACGATGCTCTTCTCATAAACACGGGCTATAAAAGGCATTTAAGCAGATTTAACAATATCAGCCGGTTAATACTGTATTCATTTAATGCATGGCTTTAGAATCCTGTAAAATCATTTTTCAAATTTTAGCATCTGACAAAACAGAATTAGCACCCTCATTTCTATGATAATATTGTTCATTTAATGCATGGCTTGGAGTTCGACTTCAAAGTGAATCAGAAAATGATGCCTTTTCTCTTGTCGGAAACATCTCTTCATGCACCAGTGGCTGGACCTTACATTTTAGCTTGGAATGCACAAAATCACTCTCACATTTCAACTGTCCTTTTATAATTCAATCATTTAGTTCATCAGTCTTAGGTAGATTCTGTAATACTCAGCCCATGAAAGCTAAAACCATTTTTAATGTCATCTTTTCATGAGTATTCTCTGGCAAGACCTGGATTGAAAGCATCTCCAGATAATACAGATAATACAGAAGATGCACTTAGCAATGAACTTAATGCAAACATGCAAAGATGCCCGGAATGGCCAAGGAAAGCCGCTTCCACCCTTTCAACCTTACTCCTCCTATCCTCACGATTGGCACTGAAAATCAAAGCGTGATGGTGAATTAGGTTTGTACAAACAAATGCCCACAATGCACAAGGGGTTCCATCACTGAAAATAAAGACCGTTTTCTGTATTTTCTCTCTAAAACACTGACATTCCTCCTCAAACATCTACCCGGCAAGCAAGAGAAAGCTGACAGTGCAATGAAGGGTGAGATGATAATGTCCTCTTCCATAAATGAAACCCAGCCCGCAGAACAAGGAATTCAGACAGATTGGCAGGGCGTTCTCAAATTCTCGATGGAGCTTCAAACATTCACCCCCTTGCATGTACAAGAGCCTGCAGTGGGGGGGCCCCTCCAGACAGAGGTAAGTGACTGTTTTAGACAGACGGAAGAAAAGCTTGCACCATATTACTGTAGCAATCGTGCTACTATGGAAACAGGAGAAGGTGATGGAGAAATCACAACCAACCACCGCCACAATTCGGCAAGGCCAAATTGGTAAAACACACTTCGGTTGGGAGAGACAGTTCAAGAGAATGAAAATAAAGATTTGTCAATTACCAACTGAATATTAAAAACCCTCAAAATGTTGGTGTTACCAACTGAATATTTGTGTTCCCCTTAAATTCCTATGTAGAAGCCCCCTGATGTGGTGGCATTTGGAGATGGGGCCTTTGGGAAGTAATTAGGGTTAGAGGAGGTCATGGGGGTGGTCCCTCATGAGGGGAACATGCTCTTATAAGAAGAGACATGAGAGCTCGCTCTTTCTCCCCACAGACCCCCAACACACACACACACACACACACACACACACACACACACACACATACACACACACACACACACTTCTTCCCTGAGCACATACAGAGAAAAAGCCATGTGAGTACACAGGGAGAAGGTGGCAGTCTACAAACTAGAAAGGGAATCCTCACCAGAAACCAAACCCTGCCGGACCTTGATCTTGGACTTTCTAGCCTTTCGAACTGTGAGTAAATAAATTTCTGTTGTTTAAGCCACTCAGGCATATTTTGTTATGGAAGCTGGGGCTAACTAATACAGTTTATAAGTGTGTAAACATTACATCCTACTTAGTGTATTCCAGTAATACTAACTATGGGCATGTCCTTTGGTATAGCAATTTCACATCTAGATTTTACTTAGTAGAAGCACAACCAACCCTGCAAAAATACGTGCAGGAGTCCATTCACAGTAGAAAAGAGATCAGTCACAGCATATGCCCAGCAAAGGGGATGGATTAAAAAGTTAATGTCAACTACAGGTGACAGAATGCCCTGCTTTGCAAATACACGTGATTACAATATGAGTTATAAAGGCAAGTTGCTGAATATTCTATAAAATGTAATTTTATTTTTGTAGAAAAGTTATGTATATATGTTCATGTATGCAGAAAAATTTGAAAGAATATGTGCCAAATGAAAAGGGAATGGGAACATTTCTGAATTGTTTAAAAATTTATATATACTGTCTATATTAAAAATAAATCAATGTGGAAAAGTTATTGTTAAGTAGTGATTCATTTTGTGATCTCAGGCTTTTGATATAAATCCACTAACATATTTGGTCCATTTCTTTATCCTTTAGGGAAGCAGAGCTCATGATTTTACTGTAGAGATTTCATGTAAAAATGTTCCGAGTATCTTTCTAGTTACTGAAATAAGTATGTATAGAGTCCTAATGCTGATCATTTATGTTGAAAACTAACGAAGAGATGTGTAGGGAGGATTAATGGGATTTCTAATAGATTTCTTTATATAACGGTACAATTTGGGGTAAAAAATAACTTTTTTTCTAAAGTGATCTATAATAACTGGCATGTCTACTTTTAATTATCTTAATCACCCTCTTTTCATTATTGAGTTGACACTGTGTGTGTATCTTAATGAATTTACAGAGATTATTTCAATCGATTGGTTTTGTTAACAGCACAATAAATTCTGACTGATAAGAATTCAGGATGTAATTAGTTAGCTCTTCTTATTATGCAAATTTCTGATACTTCTGTAATGAGTAATTAAAGATTAATAAGAAAGATAGTCCCGAATTAGCTGCTTCTTATCTGTAAATGCTTCAGGATGTGTGGGGATCAGGCTTCATTTGCATATTCTCAATGACTGGTAGTTAGACAACTTCTATCTTAAAGTCTCCTGGGGGGAAAAACCCTGCCCCGGGCCATGGAGTTTCACAGGAAGGTGGCTGAACCCTCAACTCCATCCTCTTCACTTCTGCTCAGGAAGTGGGAGGTCAAGCCAGACTGTTTCTGAGTCCTCACTGTGCCCCTTTCTCTGGGTAGTGATCTTAAGCCAGTCATTTCTACCTCTTGGTGCCTTTGTCTCCATGCCACTTAGCACAGAGCTGGGAGAGGATCCAATGATGGAATCCACATAAGACACTTAACAGGGGCTTGCACACAGTGGGCACGCTGTGGAAAGCAGCTGCCGGTATTATTCATTCCATAAATATTTAAACTCCTACTATTTCCCAGGCACTGTTCTAGGCACCAATGATAGTTTAATGAATGAACAAGACTAACCCCTACTTTCATGGAAGCTATGATTTTCTTTCTTTTCCCTTTCTTCTTCAGGGCTTTGTAAAATCTGAAGCTCTAAATCATGAGGCCCTGTGGTTGTGTCTTTTGCTCAGAGTCCCATCACAAGCACACACAGGCAGGAGGACACTCAGTCACACCCTCTGCCTAGCGAATAAAAGAGGGTGTCATGCAGGAGGCTGCCAGAAGTAGGGCCCCTTGAGGACACATACTGCTCAGGGGCGCCCAGCAGACAAGAGCAACAGCATTCTCACAGCATGATACACCGCTCTTCAAACAGCACCCTCCCACTGACCGTGGCCTCCTGTGCACTGGCCCAGGGAATCCGGGAGCACCCTGTGGGCCATGTGATTATATCAGCTTCATGGCTGGCTGGCGGATGACCAGACTCAGTGGTTTGCCCTCAGATGCACAACTATTTGTGGCAGAACCGATTCAAAACTAAATCCCAACTCCAAAGCCCAAGCTCCGTCCCCCTCACCATGCTGCCTCCCTGCCTGCTACACGCCCTCCACGTCCCAGATAGAGGTGATGAGGCCAGCCCAGGTGACCCACACAGGAACACCTGGGTAAGCTCTCCAGGAGAAGGACCAGGCTCACTGCGGCTACCCTCTTTGGGAAAAGAGTGACAGGGACATAAAGGACCTGACGAGAATCACACCAGAGAACTGGGGAGGAGATGGAGATGCGCAACTGAATCGGCTCTTGCCAGAGAGGACAGCACTGCCAGGCTTGGCTCCTGCATCTCCCACTTCCCAGTGCTGTGGCCTCAGCCCACTGACTGACACTCTCTCAATCCAAGCAGCTTTGTCTGAGAAAATGCCCAAACCACTCGGACCACCTAGAGTTGCTGTGAGCGACAAAGAGAATGCAAATATGAAGAGTAAAGAAAATGGCACACAGTAGGCACTTAATAAGGGCCACTTTGGTTTCTGAAGATGAGATAAAGTGTTCTGTGAGTCTACGACTGCTCTTCACTTTTTCCTCATTCTATCATCATGATTGTTATCACTATCGCTGTCATCAGATCAATCCAGCTTAAAGTTAATTCCCACAGGAGAAGACCTAGCAGTTTAAGGAAAACCTTGCCAGCTCGAATTCTGCAGAGGCTGGCAACCCAGGAATCCCAACCTCCTGCTACCCTTCCAGCAGCAGCTGTCTGCGTGGTTAGGAGAGCAACTGCACTCACCAGCACCCCAGTCTCCCTGAGCCCCTCCGACCTCACCACTCACTGAGCTCACAGGGGACTAACTGGTCCTCAACCTGGGCATCTAACGCTCTACATACAAAAGCAGTAAGACTGAACCGTTGCTACTAAAAGATCAAAAGAACCCGAAGTGCACAGAAAGCACAAAGCAGCCGCACTCACAGCGATGATGTTGAAGAAGTCATCGTCCCCCAGCGTGTCCAGAATAGACGAGACCGTCTGCTTGGCGATGGTCAGGCGGAGACCTTTCATGCTGCCGCTGACGTCAACTAAGATGACCACGTCCTTCGGAGAAGTCGCTGCCTGGATGTACCTAGGTCAGGGGAACACACAGGGAAACTGAATCTTGACCCTCTCTGCAAGTTTGCCTTTTAAAAACTAACTGAGAGGTTTGTCCATTTCCTACCATTTTCGGTTCCTGCAGTCAAAGGCAATGACTCCATTCTCATCTGGTTCCCATTTAATCCCTAGAAGAAAAATGGAGTTATAAGAAACCCAGAAACTTCAAATATTTATTCATAGCACTTCCAGGCTGCTCTGCTTTGCTGACTGAGTGGACAGGGTGAAAAATCACATGTGAAGACCAACCCTGGAGCTCATCACGTGCTCCGTCGCCCACTCTGGGAGGGTGCTGCGGGGCTGCCACAGGACAGCGATTAGCCTGAGCGCACTCCTGCCAAGGCCCGCTGGCGGTGGCACTGCCTTGAGTAAAGCTCTGTCCATTGAGGAAGGACGGGCTGCAGCCCCTTCCATGGCTAAAGATAAAGTTAGCCAAGGTCGTTTCTCACTGTCCCTCAAATTGCTGGACGTGGGGCATCATTCACAGGTCTCTGGGCAAGGTGGGCACATCCCTGGACCTGGGTCAGTTATGCCTATAGTATGGGAGGTAGCAAGCATTTGATATGTTTCTATCGCAGAATATACACAGGTCTGTTCTTTCCTGACTCCTGTTTTTAAAATCAGGAATTTTGGCCTGGCTTTAAAATAAAATAAAATAAAATAAAATAAAATAAAATAAAATGGCCCTAATTGTGCTGTACAATGAAGTGTGAATTTCAAACTTGGAGGCCTAGAGAGCTTTTCTTAGATGTAAATGGGTTAGCTTCATGGTTTGCAGACAGTTGACATTCTCTGTTTACAACTTGGTTTTTACGAATAAAACTTTTTAAAAAAGTTTTTGCTGCCTAAAAATAAGATAGAAAATCATTGTTTTCAACTCTCAGTGGTTCTCAGAGATGGAGGATTTGAAACACAGACTTCGGAGTTCAGAACACTAGAAAAATTATTTTCTATGAGGAAATCATGACTCAGATTGTAGCCTTGAGAGTCTCCTTTCCAATTAATAATGGCCAGCCTTCCGGACCACACGGGGCCCACAGGCATGTGCTCAAGACAACGCCCCCGAGTTATTACACAGATAACTCTGAGATGGCAGTTTGTAATCCAATGAGTCATTTTGTTCTTGTCTTCCTTGTACCTACATTTCCCATCTGCAAATGTGCCTAATTTAATGAGTTCCCTGTAACAAATTGGAAAAAGTATGAGAAGCCATTGCCAATGGATGGCCATTAGGTAATGAAGATAAAATAAAGCTGACATGCTATTGTACACTAAAGGACAAGAATGCAATTTTTTTTAAAAACATCTGACACACTGCTTTGTACAAAGCCAAGTGCAGCCAGATTCATACAGTCTTGACACATTTGCAATTATATCCTTGGTGAGGCTAGGTAATGTTCCACACAGAATTGGTTTGAGTCCAATATAAAGAGAATTTATCTTTTAATGTGTTGATTCATGGTAGGCGGTCAGTGGGTGTTTCTGGAGTTGAACTGCGTGCAGTGTGCTTCGATGGCGAGCATGTCTGCCATCCACCCTCCCCATCGCTGTGCTCTACCAGAATGAGAACATGGTCAGTTCGCTCCTCCTGCCCAGCATTTAGGCCTGGGCCTGCGGGACAGGAATTGATGCCACCGCAGGCTCTCCTTTGGACTGAGTTCATTTCTCTGCAAGTGGGATTGTCCTCCTCCTAGTCACTCTGACAAGTGAAGGGCAGACAGCAGAGACTAAGAAAGGTGGGCCCAGCCCCTCCTGCCCTCAGGAAGCCTCACATCTAGCAGAAAAGCAGACACTAGGTATGAAATCACAAGAACCAGAAAAGTCAGGAAGGACAGTACCTGAGGCTATGCTAGTGTATAAAGGTGGCTCTAAAAGGAAGAAGGACATGAGGCTATGTTAGTGAATAATGGTGGCTCTATACCTGAGGCTATGTTAGTGTACAAAGGTTGGCTCTAATCCTGAAGATGAAGGAGGCTCTTCAAGCTGAGAACAGAATGATGGCACATTAGGGCTGAGGTAACAAAGGCCTACCAACTGGGCGGCTTGACAGGAGTGTATGCTCTCACAGTGATGGGAGACAGATGTGCAACATCAAGGGCCATGGCCCCTCTGAAGGCTCAAGGGAAGAGTCCTTCCTTGCCCCTTACCTTCTGGTGGCCTCGGCAGTCCTTGGTGTTCCCTGACTTAGAGCTGCATCTCTGCAATCTCTTTCTCATCTTCCCATGGCTGACTCCCCCTGTGTCCCTGTGTCTTCTCCTCTTTTAAGGACACCAGTCACCTTGGATGTAGGTCCCACCCAAATACAGTATGATCTAATCCCAACTTAACTAATTACATCTAAGAGACCCTACTTTCAAGTAAGGTTACATTCCAGGGCTCCAAGTAAGCATGCATTTGTGGTAGAGACACCATTAAACCCACTAATGGGTTAGATTCATGAAACCTAAGTGAGGAGTGGCCACAGGGTGAAGAAGAATACCCCAGTTAGAGAGACCAATGTTTGCAAAGGTCCTGAGGCTGAGAAGAGCACGTCAAGTTCAAGGAACTGAAGGAATGCTGGTGTGGCCATGCCCAGTGCACGGACGTTTATGCAGAGGAAAGAGCCTGGTAGCAGCAGGAACCTGAGGCCCGGGCTCTCTGAGTCAGGACATCAGTGTACACTGAGTGAGGATGCAGGCAGTTCTAGGCACCGCTGCCCTCGGTGTAACAACAAAAGTCAACCTGATCTCCAAGTCCGGACCAGATGGGCTTTGGGGGGATCAACTTGCTCAAATCTGACCTTTGGATCAAAACCTTCATTTCACAGCAGGGAATCCAAGGTTCTCCGAGTTCAATAGCTTTCCCTGAGATTTCTAGTAGGATGAGAACTTGATGTCCAGGCATTTTCCTAGGGTGTCCCATGAGAAGTTCTCCAGGACGTTAGCATGAGTTAAGTGAATAAAAATAAACTGGGAGGGACATCTGAGGGCCTTTAAGCTGCTTCAGCACATCCTGAATTTCCAGGACTGGAACAGCAGGGGCAGCATTCACCAAACTAATTTGACTACTGAGCCCCTTCTCCCCAAAACAGTCTCACAACAAAAGGTTTTAGGAGAGAAACGTCAGGAAACTCTATTCCAGATGGTACCATCTCCCCAAGGACATATCTACTTTTTAGTATATAAGTTTTTTCTCAGGTAGATATTGTGAAAATATTCAAGTAACTTCAAATCCCAGAGATAACAATAGTGGGCTCACTGACATGCAGGGAATTTTGTGATGCAGGGAACTGTCTGTTAATCAAGAACTACCCCCATGAGCCACATAACTTCTGGAAGTGCCACATGCCTTTGGGGACCCACCCAGGCTGGATGGGGCATGAATCTCCACGCAGGAGGAAGGATGCAGCTCAGTAGACTTAGCTGCTTCTCCCTGGGCCTCGCGGCTTCACGAGCAGCGCCAGTGATTGCCAAGCTGCCTTCCTCAGCTTTCAGAGGACAGTCTCCAGAACATTCAGCACATCCTTGAGGTGAGACTCAAAATAATGTCAGAATCTCTACTGCAGACTCCAATGCTCAAATCTGACTGAATGTAAAATATTGCACAACATTCATATGCCCCCATAGCTGGTCCCCCGGAGTCATTAAAACTAATATTAGAGTGAAATTAATTTCATCTAAAACAACATATGACTTCATGTTCTCCTTTAGCGCATGCAAACGAACAGCAGGGCCAAGAGAGCAGAGCCTCATCCAGCCTCGTCTGAAAGCTGAGTCACATGCTGCCAATATAATTGCATGTGACAGAAAGGTTTAAGGCAGTCCAACAGCACTAAGAACTACAACAAAGAGCAGAGTAAACTCCAAATATCTTTTTGGCCTCTCAGTTTATTTCTGCCCTCTACCTCAACAAAGGGTATCTTTTTTTTTTTTTTTTTATATATTTTATTGATTTTTTTTACAGAGAGGAAGGGAGAGAGATAGAGAGTTAGAAACATCGATGAGAGAGAAACATCGACCAGCTGCCTCCTGCACATCTCCCACTGGGGATGTGCCCGCAACCCAGGTACATGCCCTTGACCGGAATCGAACCTGGGACCTTTCAGTCCGCAGGCTGACGCTCTATCCACTGAGCCAAACCGGTTTCGGCAACAAAGGGTATCTTTGCCCGTTGCTTTTCTTCTCTCCTTAGGGCCAAGTCCTTTCCCCAATACTGCCCTGGAGCTGCTAATGACATCCAAGTCATCTGCACAACCCACCACCTGAAGAACACTAACTATCGCATTGCAGCCTGGGATTTCTCTTCCCTATCTGAGAATAAAAGCCCAGAAAGATGAGGAAAGAAAGGAAGGAAAATCAATAGGTAGCAGATGTTGGTTTATCCCTAACTGGGTAAGTTCTGCCCAATTCCTTCCTCGATATTGTTTATTCAGCACCAAATCTTAAGTTTAAATAAATACCTCCCAATATAACTTCAGATCTAAAGTAGCTGGTCTACAATGAAATGCTAGCTTAACATGATTGAGTTGTAATCAAATTTGGAATGTCTTCTAAGACAATCCTCCAATATCAACCACACTTCACCTACTGCTAACCCTTGGTGAGAAAGGCGGGCAAGAGAAAAAACAGAAAGTAACACTGTGCAGGGAACCTACTCTTGACGTGTTACCAGCCAACAGCAGCTTGCAGAGAGCTCTTTGGTTATCCAACCTTGTAGAGAGGTCTTCAGTTAGCCATCCGTTCCCCTCCTCGCAGCTGTACTGGGAACCAGCTTTCACCTTCGTGTGGCCCAGAAATCATGACAAAGACCAGAAAAGCAGTTCCCTTTGTGATCATCAAGCCTCCTACTGGAACAATCTCCTGAGATGAGGCTCTGGGATGGGGAGAGTCTGATACTGGGGAAGGAACTGAGCTGCTTATCATCATGCATACATTTAATTGTTGTCTGTGTTTGATTAGCTACTGATCTGTCTATGATATATTTAAGGACAGCTACAAATGACTGTCAGTCAGCCATATCATTGTGGACAATGGGAAGAACTGGCCAGAACACGAAGGATGGATCAGCACTGAAGGCCCCACCCAGGCAGAAACTGGGACACACACAGGATTGTAAAATCATGAACTGACGAGGCTCTCAGGATAGACTCACTGTGCAGGTACGACTCTGCCTCCTGGGAGGTGATGAGCCTGGAGATCCCTTTTAACCTTAACATGGTGGTCATGAGGCATCATGAGGTAAACTACCAACAGAAGAGGGCACCCAGTGTCCCGGACTTGGTGGATATTGGGATAGAAAGGACAGAGACTTGGGAGGACTTGGAGAAGAGGGAGCAATGGAGGGGGGTGGCAGAACTCTACATGGCTCTAGTCTACACTGTGTTTATGCCCATTCCCTCCTAGGTCACTCAGTCCCTTAGACAGAAGCTAGTGACCAGTTTCCCAGAGAGGCAGCAGCTCTATTGTTCCTAGGGAGGGAAGGCTGCTAATACCAGTATGACAGGGGATGGTAGATGTGCTGAATTTTGATCCACTGAGTGATATATCCATTTAACAAATACATACTGAATACCTACAATGTGATATTCTTGGCGCTGGTGACAAGTGATGGACGAAACACATGGCTCTGTCCTCCTGGGACAGGTATCCCAGTAAAGGAGACAGGGATTGAAAGCCTGATGCCTCAGGACCGTAGGCCAGAGTTCATATTTTATAGGGTAACAACCACCATGACAGCAAACAAAAAAAGAGGTGGTTGAAGCATTAACACCATTGCCAACTCCCTTTGATCCTGTTGGTATGTCCTGGGTTAGTCAGTTCATCTCTTGGCCTCTGTTTTCTCATTTCACAATGGGCATTGCAGGAGCCCCAGCTCAGAGGATCCTGTGAGGGTTAAAGCAAGCAATGCATGTATGAGCAGCCAGCAGAGAGCTCAACAAACAATGGCCACTATCACTAGCATCAGCAGGAGTGTTACATTCACAGCAATCCCAAAGGCTCTCAGGGATGAAACTGAACTAAACAGAGCTTCACTAGCCCTGAGTAAACAATCCTGCAGAGCCCAAAGGCCCTTTAACAGCAGTTTTGTTGTTGTTGTTGCTGTTGTTTAGAAGAGCTTATCTGAAGTTCCCTGTTCAGTGAGACCCTTTTGTAATGTAGACACTAAAAGGCAATGCCAGTAGTACCTTGAAAACTGGGCATCGGATTATACAAGTCTTTTTCTACAGAGTTATACTATTCAACACAGTAGCTACTAGCCCCATGTGACTATTTCATTCTATACTTAAATTAATTAAAAGTATAAAATTAAAATCTTAGTTCCTCAGTCTCACTAGGCACATTTCAAGTTCTCAGCAGCAGCCTGTGGTCAGTGGCTACCACATAAGACACTAGATACAGAGCATTTGGGTGGTCACAGACACTTCTTTCAGACAGCACGACAGAACTGCTGCCACCTGCCCATACACATAAGGGATACTTGTCGAGGCCTATGTTAAGTTATGCAGAAGTGGACAACATCATCACAGGTATGCTTCTAGGCTAATGCTGACTAAAACTCTCCTTCTAGAAAAAATTTCCTTCCACCTCCAGAGATGGGATTGTGCTCCTTTTCTGTGATCCCCCAGAACCCTCTATTTCCCCTACCTTAGCATGAAACACACTGTACCACAACGGCCTGTTCATCTCTCTCCCCATGGTGGTCACTGTCCCTTCATTTAGGCGCCCACTCCAGGCAAGGCCACAGTATCCTCACCAATCCCCATGGTTTCACTTGACTGGCCCTACCCACTGTCCAGTGTCCTGGGTTTCTCATGTGGGCACAAGACCCAGACCAAGCTAATCCTTGGACTTTCATCCAAGCTATTGAGATAGATGCTGTCTCTTCCCAGGACTATAACTGAAGAATGACCCTGCAAGCCCGCAGCCACGTTCTCCATTGCGAGATCATCTGCCAGGGAAAGAAGGTCAGAACAGAGGAAGGTAGAGGTGAAGAATGAAAGCAAATAGTCAAAATCCAAATGGCATTGCTGACTTCTGGGATCCGGCTGCGCCTCAAAACTGCACAACCCTTGAATTTTGAGTTACATGAGCAAATAAATGTGCCCCTTGCTGGAGCTAGTCATAACTGGGTTTCTGAATCTTTCAATCAAAATCCCCGATGAATGCATGTCCCAACAAGAGGGGCCTGCACAAGGGCAGAGGCCTTTTCTATCCAGTTCCCCATTTTATCCTCAGGGCCTCACACAGAGCTCAGAACAAAGCAAGAACTCAAGATATATTTTTGTAGGAATAAAGAAACATCCCTTCTGCTTAAGAACATGCATGCTGATAACTGGCTTATAGTATTATATCACTCTACACATGGAAAGATACATCATGAAAAGAAAAACATCCTAGCAAAATAATGCCCCTGGATCCTTTTTCCAATAACCATGTTACATGCTCTCTGTTCAGAACTCAGCACTGAGTGACCGTGTGACATTTATCAGGCAATGAAACCCCTTTGGGAGACTGTGACCTATGTCTACATTAACATAGAAAAGATGCAGAAATTTTACAAAGTCAAAATTCTGCTACAAATGTCATAAAAGAACTATAAGCATTTCTGAGTCAACTGCTCTGACTGATGAAAACCTTGTATGTAATTAATCTCCCCTATTATATAAACTCTCTATTAGAATTCCCTTTTATTGTAGACTGAATGTTTGAGTCAAGCCCCGCCCCCCCATTCATATGTTGAATCCCTAACCCTCTATGTGATGGTATTGAGAGGCGGAGCCTTTGAAAGGTAATGAAGCTATGAGGGTGGGGCCCCATGATGGGATTAGTGGCCTTTTAGGAAGAGTGGGAAACACTAGAGCCTCTTCTCTCTACCATGGGAGGACTCAGGGAGAAGGTGGCCATCTGCAACCCAGAAAGAGGGCTCTCACCAAGAACTGAGTGTGCTGGTACCTTGATCTTGGCCTTCCCAGCCTCCATACCTATGAGGGATAAATGCCTGTGTTTCAACCTTTCAGTCTATGATATTTTGCTATGGCAGCCCAAGATTATTCATACACATTTATTTTCAAATTTACTCATGATCATAGTTTGAGGGCTTCCTGCTGGTGGAGACAACAGCTGACCTCTGGTTTCTTCTTATCTGCTCCACTTCAGCCAAATGCCACATGGCAAGATGATGAGATGTCCTTGTGGCTCCCTCAATGAATCAGCCACCCACCATGCTCTCATTTCAGCAACATCTGTGTGAAATTTACTCTCTGTTGAGTGTTTCAAAGCAGACTGCAACTTGGTGATACTGGAACTTTAACAGACCGCTGTTTATTATAGCATTATCTTTAATAAGATACTTATTGTTTAAATTCCTGTGAGCTCCAGGAGGAACATGCATTCCCTGCTGAACACAGCTCTTGGGAAATGGTGAATAATCTGGCAAAGCAGACATTGGCAAGCAAGTCTCAGGGGACAGATGCTGTGTGCAAGGCAAGCAGCTCCTCGGGGCGGAGGCTGGCAGTCTCTGTGCCTCGGAGCGGGAAGACATCAGGTGCCTAGCCTTACTTAATGAAAACATAAAAGACTCCACTTAATTGCTCCAAGATTATGCAGGAGGTTTTTTCCCCCTTCTTTTAGGTTGAGCTTGTTAATTTGTACAGCTGTGTTGCTGGCACAATTGCAGCCTCGAGTCCTGTTTTCACAACTTGTAAGCAAAATTAAAACTTCCCTTTTTAATTAAAATTCAAACCAAGCCAGAGTTAAATTCCTATTGCAAAGTAGAGGCCTGGGAAGGCTCCCAAATGAACACCTGCTTCACGGCAAGATGGCCAGACCCTGACAAATGCACTCATTGGAAGGTGCTGCTGGTGGCCCCTAAGGATAGGTTCCCGACATCCGTGGTGCGTTGGCCATTTTGGCCCCTTCTTCCAAGGGCAGTTGGCTCCAGAGGGGGAAAACTCAAATTCCAATTTTCCATTTCCTACACCTTTCAGTCAGAACTTAACTCCTCCAATGATGACTTGTTCCTTTCCCCGATTATAACAATAGTATCAATAATAATAATAACAAAGGCAAACTCTTGTGAGGAAGTTTAAATACCGTATGTCTCACATCACCATTCCCCACTTCGGGCAACTCTGTGAATGACTGTATTGAGAAAGATGCCTGGTGCATGTGCACGAGGGGGTGCAGATGCCACATAGCCATTCCTATCCTGCACCTGACGATAGATTTAATAGCTTTTTAATTGGCACATAGTTGACATGCAATATTATATTAGTTTTAGGTGTACAACCCAGTGATTCGACATTTAAATACCTTACAAATGATCACCGTGGTAAGTAATAAACAAATGTCACCAAATAGTTACTACACCACTTCTGACTGTATTCCCTATGCTGTCCATTACATCCCCATGACTTACTTATTTCATAACTGGAATTCTGTTCCTCTTAATCCCCTTCACTTATTTTTCCCATGCCCTCACCTCCCTCCCCTCCGACAACCATCAGTTTGTTCTCTGTATCAATGGTCAGTTTCTATTTTGTTTCGTCTGTTCCTCTGTTTTGCTTTTTAGAACATTTCATTTTCTCCAAAAGGAAGGGGGACCAGTTTTAACCGCGGACCCTAAAGGAACATATCACATGTCCCTTTGTCTGAATCATAACCCTCCATGCAGGATACTCACCTGGATACTGCCGGAAAAAGCCCTTTGCACTTCCAAAGTACTGCCATATGAGAGACGGGTCACGGTCAAAGTTATCCACAAAAACTTTGTTTAGGGATTCAGACCAATAAACACCATTGACAATTGCTGGGTCTGGGGGGGAAAAAAAGAAAGAAAGAGAGAGAAGATGTTACAAACCCAAGTGAGAGAACCTGGCTGGCATTGCATAGCTGGCGGTGACAGGCAGGAGGCCACCTTGCTGAAAGCCACAAAGACAGTGACAGCCCCTGGAAACTCCATACATCAGGGTGTCCCCATCCTGCCCTGCAGGAGTCCTCCAGCAAGTGGGAGCCCTCCCAATGGCTCCTTCCCTGAAAGGCACATCCCTTTATTCTCATGTGGCCCACAGTTCTCAAGGGAGCAAAGAGAGACCTTAGCATTTTTTTACACGTTTCCCCCTCCTGAGCCTGAACTCAGCTTAACAATAGGAAAAACGTGTGTGTGTTTTTTCTCACTGCAGTTACCTCAGCCAACACAGTCTCGTTCAATTCTCTCCACCTCAGCCCTAGAAGTTTGCTTTTCTTTTTTTTTTTAAAAAAAAAAAGGTAAGTAAATTGGAATTGTGCAAGTAAATCTCTCCACATTTTTTGATCAGCAGTGTGTGCGCAGGAGGGAAGGCACCACCTCACTGAGCTCTTCTGCTGGACTCCTTTGAGCGGCCCGTGGCAGAAACTCCAAAAACGTATGGATTGGTGAAGAGAGGGCTGGTTGGCTGGATGGGTGATTAAAACGAAGATTACAGACAGCTGTCTACTCTCTGACCCGCTATCCCAGGAGCAAATCCCTCTTCCTCACCCTGGGCCGCCCAAAGATAACCCCTTGTCCCACACATAAGAATGAAGGGAAAGGGCACTGAAGGAGAACGGACAAGATTTCTGGCATACTGGTGGAAGCAGGGTGGAGCAGCGAGGATGTCATGACTGTCCACTTTTTGTTTTCTTAATCTCTGAAACTCCTGTTTCAAAATGATACCACATTAAGCAACATTCCGTTCTAACTGGGGAAATAACTGCCCAGTCCCAGTCTGATTGAGGGTAAGACTAACAACAGGATGAGCATATTAATAACTACGGAGAGGAGGAGGAGAAACCTTTCAGTGCTTCCTGTGGGACAGGCACTGTGCTATTTTATCTCCTACCACCCTACCTCAGCCCTCCAAGACAGGCTGCCTCGCTACCCTGCAGGCTACACAAGTGGAAACTGAGTGAAGAAGGTTAGGTTCCTCCTATCGGCACTCCGCTAGGAAGTGACAAAACCTCTGATCAGTGTTTTCCTTATTTGTAAAATGGGGGTAATAATGCCCACCATCAAAGGCTGCTTGGAAGGTTAAAATAATTGACAGAAAAAGGCCAAGGGCATTCCTAATGCCATCTATGGAGGTATTTCACTGGCCTGAAGTCCCACACCCTCCCCAGAGCTCCCTGTGGGACTCCAAGCCACAGCAATCCCACCGTGGCGTCCTTATTCCAAATACTCATCATCACGCACAGCTGAGGGGATGAGGAGAGATTGGGGTCACTCCAGTCCTCAATCTCATGGTAAGACAATGAGATAAATCATATCAGAAATGTTCATGTGAATTAGGTACACTGACTTGCTCACTAAAATGCATCCTATTCCCCCCACCCTCCTCCACACAATCTGCCCTCTGCCAGCTGGCTGCCCCCAAAATGTTCACCTGGAGAGGCCCCAGCAGAGCCCACAAGGGCTCCTGACCCAGTGGGCATTCATGGTGTCTTGTTGTATTGTCTTACCTCTGGCTGCCTTATTTTTCCAGATCACTTACTAGGACTCAATAGGCAGTTGGGATTCTGACTTTCATTCTAACTCTTGTGAACAATAATAACCACATCACAGGCTAGGAGAGTGAAAATGACCAATTCAACCTTTTGCCGCAAGTAATTTTAAGAAAGACTTGATCTTTACAATCCTGGAAAATGGAGCCCTTTATTGTTCCTGTCCAAGCTTGACAAAAATTATTCTGACTCACTCTCTGCTACTAAAGCCCCTTAAATTAATCCTCAAAGATGCAAAGACAATAATGACACTGAAAAAAATCTATGGTTCTTGCCTCCTCCATCAATGGCCTCAATTATGTCAGTGTCATATGAAAACCTTTCACAATTAGAAGCAAAAATTCCAATTCGCGAGCTGTCTTAACATGTTAAGGAGTCAAACAGTTTCCAGTTAGAGCATTCTTTTTTCTCGGGAGTGGTTTCTTTGGGGCTGGTAAGAGTCGGTCCTTGCCTCCAGGCGGTCCTGGAAACCTAAGATTACCACGTGGGGAAGGGTGAGTACATTCAGAAATGGTGGTGGTCTGAGGATCGCTTTGCCCACATCATTTGGACCTCAGATCTTGCTATGAAATTATGCCTCGTCAAGAAAAGGGGGCCTCAAATTTCCTAGGGCGTGGTGAGCAAGAGAAGCAGAACCACTAAAAGATATGATCTAGTTTAAATGGAGACTGTTGCACACACCTATTTCATCAAATATCTCAAATAATCACAGTGTATTGATTTCACAAGCTTCTTTATCAAACAAATTAATAGAAGAAAAAAATCTTGAATTACTGTCCATTGTTACCATCACCTAAGAGATAGAAGAGAAAAACAGGAAAATGATGTCATCATTAAGTGGGGCATTCATCTAAGTATTTGGGATTTAAAAAGACTTCAGTTAAAAATGGTTTTCCCAGCTCATTGCCAGAAAGCAGAAGTGAAGGAGCCCAAAGGGTCATGCACCCCATGTACCCAGGACCCCAGCCTTTCCAGCATTGACTGAGGAGGAGGTAGACATTACCTGGGTGTGGACAACTTCCCAGCCTAATGTTCCCTCCGTGCTTGCTGAGCAGATTTGCTTTCTTAAGGTCACTTGTAAAAATGACAGCATCCTCCTTAGTGGCAGGTTTACTGTGTTTCAAAATTTGTGTAAAAGCCCCCTTTGCTTCATTTAGGATTTTCCAAGAGTCCTAGATTAATTTGAGCATTAGCTTTCACCTCCACCCTTAATCGTCTTAGGGGTTTAATGTACTGTATTAGCTTCCTGTGGCTGCTATAACAAAACACCACAGACTAAGTGGTTCAAAACAGAAATTTATTTCAGAGGCCAGAACGCCAAAATCACGGTTGGCAGGATTGGATCCTCCTGGGGCCCTGAGGAACAGTGTGCCCCATGCCTCTCTCCTAGCTCCTGGTGGCCCCCAGCAACCCTTGATGTTTCCTGCCTTGTAGATGCATCACTCCAACTCCTGCCTCCATCTCTATATGGCCTGTCCCCTCTATATGCCTTTGTCCAATCACCTCTCCTTTTCTTTGAAGAAACTAGCCATTGGATTCTGGGTCCACCCTCAATTCAAGATGATCTCATCTCAAAATCTTTAACTTAATTACATCTGCAAAGATCCTATTTCCAAAATAGCTCACATCTGCAGGACATACAGGAGGTCGCTGCTCAACCCAGTACAGGTACTCTCTTACTTATCCTATAATACACCCATATTCCATAGTTTGTGTGTATTCCTTTTTAAACCTAGCTTAATAAATGCAGGCTTTTACCCTACAAAGGACGTTTAAAGGTCTTCTTCCTTTTCTTCTTTATGGGGACAATTCAGATTTTTATGTCTGTATTATAATTTTATGAGCTTCCTGACTTATGTCATGGGTCCAACCTGTAATGTACAAAATTGGGTTAAAATATTTTCCTTAATGTATAGTGTATGTGTCAATGCTCAGCCTTCTGTGCTCAGTATAGCGAATGCCACATAACACAGTCATTTTACCCAATGTTCTTGCCCATTCCACATCAATTTATTATTCATGTTGGTCAATACGAAGTCCAGGAATAGCAGTTCTGCTATCTCCTGAGAGATTAAATCCCTTCCGATGCCAGTCAAAATTTATCAGATGTTCAGCTTTTAGTAAAATAGATGACTAGCAGATGTTTAGAGAGTGAGAGTCCCACACCACCTCTGTGATCAATTTGCAATTGGTATTTGAAAAGCATCTCACACATCTCAGATCTGTCTTTGTAATGTATCATATAACCCATCAAAAATCACCTTTGCAGCCCTAGCTGGTTTGGCTTAGTGGATGGAGCGTCGGCCTGCGGACTCAAGGGTCCCAGGTCCGATTCTGGTCAAGGGCACATGCCTGGGTTACAGGCTCGATCCCCAGCGGAGGTTCTGCAGGAGGCAGCCAATCGATGATTCTCTCTCATCATTGATGTTTCTATGTCTCTCTCCCTCTCCCTTCCTCTCTGAAATCAATAAAAAATATACTTTTAAGAAATCACCTTTGCAGTTTCCTTCTTTTATTCTCCCCAAATAACTGCTCTCCCCCATGGCTGGCACTTGGTACAGGAGGGTCACCTGGTGTTACACATGGCTAACGTTCTCTCCACACACCCCCTCCTACACACAGTCACACAACTTTCCATTTCAGTTCTTTATCTTTGAAGGAATAGCCCCTTTGGTCATCATTTTTCAGTCAACAGTCCCATCTCCCGAGTCCTGCTGGAGATGACCAGCCCTTTGGGTTCAAGCAAATCGATGAATGTAAGCACTTAGCACAGCCAATGGCACATCCAAAATGCTCCCCAAAGGGGGCTGTTATTTACTCTGTGCATTAGTAAATGAATAAATAAGAAGAACTCCCAACATTTGTCCCTGTTCGCTACAGAGGGTGTCCCCAGGCAGCACCCTCCCAACAGTGGGCGTCCCTGTTCCCTACAGCAGGTATCCCTGGGCAGCACTCTCCCTACAGTGGTGGTCCTGGGCAGCAGCCTCACAGAGCTGTGAACCAGTCTGGGACTCAGGCTTTGGAGATGGAGTTCAGGGTTTGAGTCCTCACTGGACACTTGTTAGCTAACAGCTCTGCACTGTGACAACTTCCCTGAGCTGCCACCCTCATCTGTAGAAGGAGATAGAACTGGCCCTCCCTCAAAGGCTGCTGAGAAAAGGCATGTAAGGTGGGAGGCCTCTTAACCCTCAGAGGGGACTGCACTGGTCTCATGCCATTCTATGATGAGCCCCAACCCCGGGGCAGCTCAGTGGTTCTAAAACTGTCCAGGTGGGGTTCTCCCTAATCTCATCCACC